GAGGAATACGCTGGCATCTTTTCACAAAGAATTTTATTGCCAGATTTGGTTGTCGTTAGACACAAGTATTCCTTTTTATTTTCTGTCATGGTTTCAATGTGATAACCATTTTGACGCATATCCTTAAAGCTCAATAAATTTCTTCGGGATTTGCTGGAATATAATGCGTCTTTGATAATTAATTTTGTTCCTTGGGGAAGGATTATACAAGCCATTCCAGACCTTTCAATGAGCTTTGCAACACCAGATATTGTATTGACATTAGTTTCCATCAATGTCATTTGAGAAAAATATTCTTTGTTTCTCAAAATGGTGTGCGTTGTGGCACTGTCAATTAGACATTGTTCTTTGCCACTGGACCCATAAGCAGTTATCTCCATATCTCTAAGAAGAACAAGGTTTCAGGGATGTTGAGCAAATTCGTGCTGATAACCTGTTATAAAATGAGAGAAAAACTACTCAAAGATTATGAGAATGGATATAATATATTTCTGATGTCTTCTCTCTATTAACTCTTCACTCTTTTTATTGTACTTAATGGTCATTACAATGCAGGGATTAAGCCTCTATTTATAGTGGAGAGGCTTAGTATGAATACAAATACAAGTGGGAAGGACTGTACTAAATTGAACCTTATCAATGGGTGTCTTAATCTACTATTCTGGAAATTATGTCTGATTAATTGAATAAATGAACCATCATTAATTTCATAACAGAATATGATATTTAGAAAGAAATAATGTCTCTTGGAAGTACATTTTTTTTGTACACAACCTATTCCATAACATTTTAGTCGCCTATCTTCAAGAAATTATACCAACACAATATTTTGCCCATTCAAAACGATTGAAACAAATCTTTTCCACTCCAAAGGAGGAATTACACATTTTAGAGTAGTAAATCATTATCTATACATTCAAATGTGGGTAAAACGTGGGTTCGCACTACATCTTCAAACTTACTGTAAATCTGATTCTTAGGCCCCGTTTGGTACACGGAATTCAAATTATGAAATTGGAATCGAAAACTTCAATTCCAATTCTGGTGTTTGGTAGCACAAAAATTATGTGGATTTAGAATTGGTGGTGCAAAAAATGAATTGGATTTGATGAATTCAATTCTATGGAATTAAATCCCATGAAATTTCAATTCCAATTCAATTCCAATTCTATCAATTCCGTATAACAAACGGACCCTTAATCTATTACTTTACCCCTTTCGCTTTCTCGAATACACCATTCCCCTGATCCCATCCGGGTCGGCCACAAAGCCCATGGACAGGTAGAACCCTAGAACCCGGGGCTCCGAATACAGCGCAATGTTCGTAACCCCTTTCTCCAACAGCCCGGCCACAATCCGCTCCACCACCGCCTTCCCCAGCCCGATCCCTTGGAATCTGGGGTCCACCACCACGTCCCATATGATCCCGTGGAACACTCCGTCGCCGGTGGCCCTTGCGAACGCCACCGGCCGCCGGTCTCTCTCGCACTCCACCCACAGCATCGCGCCGGTGTGCTCCAAGGCCAGCCGCACCTTGGCGACGTCGCGCTTCGGGAAACCGACGGCGGCGAACACCGTGTTCAAGTGGTCTAGGTCGAGGCCGGCGGCGGTGGTGTGGAGGTTGAAGCCTCTGGAGTGAAGCTCGTCATCGGAGATGGAGAAGTTCGAGGAGGTTGTGGCGGGATGTGGCAATTGGGCTGCGGCGGAGAGGTTCTGGCGGCGGCGGACGGTGGTGGTTGCTTTGAAGGGGAGATGGATGCGAGGATGGCGGGGTGGAATGGCGCTGTAGGGAAGGAGCATTTTTTCATGGCTGATTTGCTTGCTCGGATTATTATAAATGGATAATTGGGTTTGTGGATAAGTAGTTGGAAAACAAATTCCACCTTTCATTTTTTACTCACTATAGCCCAAAAATATGCCTCACTCTGAATCCTAAAAGCCTGGGTCAATATTTTACTAGGGAGTATTAAATTACTCCATCCGTCCCCCATATTTATCCACCATTGATGGTGTAAATTACTTGACCGGTCAAACTATACTAGACCGGGTTTAGAATAATTTGCTTGATTTGGCAAAGTGAGAAAGGTAAAAACTCGTAGATTGACCGGTAGGACTTTAGGTGGAACACCTGTAAATGATTTATCTTATAACGGAGAATGCCCGGGTGCTTTTACAAGGGAGTTTAGAGAGAATCAATTCGCCTCCTCCTTTCTGAGGTTTACATGAGTATTTATACTAGGCTATGGGGGACAAGACCACGTGCGCCCACGTGGGGGCATGCTGCTGATGTGGTGCGAGATGACTGTCCCTGAGCCGCCTTGTCATCTTGCGAGGGGGATTACCCCCCTTGTCGCGTTCTGGCTTGGAAATATTCATCCAGCATCTCCACTGAGTCCCCAGCAATGCCAACCGCTACAGTCCAAGTCCTTTTGGACTCTTCCTGCCGACACTTCCCAATAAATAAAATCTGCACCGGTTGATTCTTGAGGGTTGGATCTGCTAACTTCGAACGATGAATTAGACCTTGGCATAGTTGGACCGGTACACTATTCGAAGTATACCGGTCAATCTTTTGGTCAACTTTTTACCTTTCCATGAGCGATTCACCTCCCTCCAAAGTTTGACCTTCTTGACCGGTCAACTTATGTGGGTCTGACCTTTGACCGGTCATGGGTGAAATACACCCATCAATAAGCCCTCCACTTCTCGGTTATGCAATTGTGTCATAAGCGAGAAGTAAAAATCTGAAACAGGACTTTAAATTTTGAAATTTCGTCCTCTCCCGCTCAAAACATTTGAATTCAAAATCCAAAAAGTACACGTTCTGACACGTGTGGCCTGCTGGACGGCGTCAGACCCGCGCCCTTTCGTCTTCCCAGGCGTAATGATGGCGCCGCCTGACGCGGCGCGCCCTGGTGAAGCCACGTCGCCTCCTTCTCCTCCCTCCTCGCCTATATAAAGGCTTCCATCCCCATTCCTTCCTCACTTCTTCCTCGCGCGTCTCCCGAGTCTCACCGGTCAATCTCCTCTCTCTTGCCTCCCAGCCCTCCGAGCCAAGTAAGCTCTCTTCTCTTCTTTACTAGCTCTTAGTTTTCATTCCCGGTCGATGTCTTCTTCTGATAGTCAAGGTATTTCTTCCTCGGATGCCTACGCATCCGAGGAATCCTCAACCTCCTCTTCTTCGACCGGGTCCTCTTTATCCAGTTTCGAAACCCGGTCAGGCCCCAACACCTCCGTCCCTGAACCGCAACCTGTTAACCAAATGCCCGGTCAGGTTTCTCAGGAGAGGGATGAACCGGTTGACGATGAGCCGGCTCCCTACGACCCTGACAGCGAGTCGTATGAGAGATGGGTGGACCGGCTGGATGCAGCCGGCTACTTTCCTTTCCCTTCCAGCTACCCGCTCGACATCTATCCCCGGGTCTCTAAGATTGCCCAAAACAAAGCCCGTAGGTATCTCCCGGAGGGGAACGTTCTTGAGTACGATCCCAGTTGTCCCAACATTATCGAGCCTCACCGGGATGATAGGGTAGGTTTCCATATCATTTCTTTGGAAAGTGGCACCGTCTTCCCCCTTCGTCCCCTTCTGGTCGAGTTGTGCCACTGCTTCAAGATTCTCCCCGGGCAACTCACGCCCAATGCCCATCGTTTTCTTAATGCTTTTGTAAATATCTGCTCCCATCTCAAGATCGATCCTTCTCTTCGCTTTTTCCTTTATTTGTTTGAAGTCCTTCCATGTAAGTCGGGTTGCGACGGCTATGTCTATTTCAAGGGCCGTAACGGTCGCCAATTCATTTCTGTGGAAGGTGTTTCGTTGGCCGACACCTTCCTTTTCAAACAGAAATATTTTAAGGGGTGGCAAAGAGGAAACCGGCCGTATTTCACCTTACTGGTGGAGGACTTTGGCGTTATGTGACTCGGCCGATTGCGAGGTCTCTTGGAAGAAAGTTTGGAGAAACTTCTACAAGGGGACCCGTTCACCGGGCAAATGTTCCATTATGAGGCTTGGATTTGGAGGATCTCACCGGGTGGCACGGGTACCCCCAGGGCTGATGAAGCAGCGGGGCACGGGGTACCCGCCCCGGGCAACACTGCGGAAGCTGGGGGTTCCGGTCACCCAGGTATCCTCCCTTCCTCTTCCTCTTTTTTATGTACCAGTCCATGTTCGAGTACTTATATTTTTGCTTGTTTTACAGAGATGAACTTCAGAGCATTTAACATCCCGGCGAAGAAGACCGGTGGTTCTTCCTCTTCCGCCCCCAAAACTGTACCGGTCCAACAGGAACCGGTAGAGATCCATTCAGATGAGGGGTCTCCTCTGACCGGGAAGACCGGTCAGACCGGGAAGACCACGGTAAACCCTCCCCTGGACAAGGGGAAGGGAAAAGTTTGAACCAAGCACGCCGCCACTACCCATCCGTCAGCTAAGAGGAGAAGGGGAGAAAACGCCCCGGCTTCAGAATCGCTAGAGGAGCTTTGGGTCAAGATGGGGCGAAAGCTGAAAGAGGTAACATTCGCCCGGTATATTCTCTTGAATTTGTTGCTTTTCTGTCGCACTAACCGGTACGTTTCGTTTTGCAGATGGGCGAGGTTGGGCCTGAAACCCTGGAGAGGCTTGTCGAGGACTCCCCTCCCCGGTCACTCCAGCTGGAGGAGAAGCTGAAAGGAGTCGAGGCCCACAACCGGGAGCTGCAGGACTTGATAGCCCGGCAGCTCGATGAGATGGCCAATCTCTGAGCAATTGCCGGGAGGGCCAAGGCGGAGACCCTCCAGCTGAAGGAAGAGAACCTGAAGCTGATGGAGCACTCGGAGCTGAAGGAGCGAGAGTTCCCCGGCAGGGCCAAGCAATGGGTGGGGGAGAACTTGGAGGAGACGGCCCGGGTGATTACATCTACTCCGGAGGTAACGATGGAGGCCTTCAAGTTCATCTACCGGGAACCCAACGGGAAGGAAATGGTCACCCAGGTTGGGTCTTATGGCTTCATGTCTGGCCAAAAGCGAGACCGGGAGGCCACCCATGCGATCCTTGCCGAAAGGGATCTGGACTTCAACGCCGAATCATACGGCCTGGCCCCCACCCCGGACGAAGAGCCTGCGCCTCCCTTCCCTCTCGAATAGATTTCCTGGCTGCGCCCGGTTGTGTTTTGTAAGCTGAAAACTATGAATTTTCCGAGGGATGCCCGGTGTAATATGTAAACACTTAACATTCTCGTTTTGTCGAATGCTATGTTTAATTTCCTTACCAGTTAATCTTCCACATCTGCTTGCTTGTTGATTTATACTTTGCTTTTGCTTCTTATAAATTCTGACCGGTACATAAATCAGGCCACTTCTCAATTATTTTCGACCGGTAGAACATCAAAGTTCTCTTTGATCACTTTATGTGAAGGATTAGCTCGAGTAACTTTGACCGGTTAAACTTCAATTTTTGCTTTTCGAACGTCTTCATCATGGCGGCCAACTTAAAAAGTTTGACCGGCCGAACTTTACTTTGGCCTTTTGGATGGCTTCACAAATTCTTTGATAAAGTTTAATTTGACCGGTGAATTCCACTCCATGGTTTGACCGGTCAACTGCCTTGCCTTCTGATGGATGTAGAACTTTCGAAGTTATGCTGTGCCCATACCCAACCGGGGTATTCTTTTTTTTTTACTTGACCGGTAGGTTGTAGATGGAAACACCCGTAACCTAGTAATTCTTGAAGTATCCTTAACCGGTAAGAATACTGGAGATTTAACCATGTCGAATGGTTTCGAACCCTCTCCAAGGTTCAAATGCACCCTTCTTCTAGGGCCCCCTCTTCCGGGTGATTAAGTCTTTTAATGGTCCTTTGATTTCTACCATCCCGGGAAGGCCTTAGCTCACCCTCCCGTTCAAGTCTTCCCTGAGAAGGGGGAAACAGGATGCGCCGCGGTGGACGATCCCCTTCTATTTCTTTTAATGGGCATCTTTTAGTCCCCAATCAATTTGACGGCGTCGGCTGATTCCCCGACACCAGTCAAACCTCATGGGCCCGTGTATGTACGGTTCGAACCTTCTTCCAGGTCCAGCCCTCTTGCAGGCATACCCTCTTCCGGGCCCCTCTTCCGGGTTTTAATATTTTTTCTATTATACTGAGCAAGACCGGTGTAGTAACCAGCGTGCCAAGTCCGGGCCTGTGTCTCAGTTGGCTTATCCAAGTGGATTCGATCCACCCAGGAAGCCCTCCTAGGACAGGTTTGACCTATCAATTCTGCCGCTACCAAGTAGAGTATTGAACATCACTTTGATTGATAATGTAGTTAGGCCTCGCCTAGTATTACAATCATTTGTAGAACTTGCGAAGATGGTGGGAATTCCAAGTTCTTTCTACCGGTGCACCATCTAAAGTTTCTAACCGATACGTTCCCGGTCGAATGATGGCTCTAACCCTGTATGGGCCTTCCCAGTTTTTTGCCAGCTTTCCTCCATCGCTGGGTCTACTTGCTTCTCTTCTTCGTAGGACTTCATCTCCAACTTGGAAGTACCGCGGCCCAACCTTGTTGTCATGGTACTTCTTCACAATTTGTTGGTATGTACTCATTTTAACTTCCGCGGCCATCCTCCGCTCTTCGACCAAGTTGAGTTCGGCCAAGTGATCTTCTTCATTTTGTTGGGGTTGATAATTTGATTCCCGAAACGTTGGGAATTCAGCTTCGATGGGCAGCCTTGCTTCACACCCATAGGTTAGGAAGAATGGAGTTTCCCCGTGAGCCCTCCTGGGTGTTACTCGGAATGCCCATACGATGTGTGGGAGTTCTTCCAGCCACTTGTTTCCTGCTTCTCCCAGCCGTTTCTTTAGACCATCCACAATTGTTCGGTTGGCGTTTTCGACTTGGCTATTCCCTTGGGGGTACGCTACTGAGGAGCGATTGTGCTTGATTCCGAAGCCCTCCAAGTATTCGGTGAACCTCGGATTTCGGAATTGTGGGCCGTTGTCGGTGATGAGGTTCATGGGCGCTCCAAACCTCGTGACGATGTTCTTCCAAATGAATTTCTTACATTGTTGCGTGGTGATGTTGGCCAATGCTTCAGCCTCGATCCATTTGGTGAAGTAATCGATGGCTACGATTACGAACTTCTTCCCTCCTTGGGCGACTGGGAAGGCTCCGATGATATCAACCCCGAATCTAGCGAATGGGATGACATTCGACACGGGGTGATAGTAGGTTTCCGGTCTACCGGGATACTTGTAGAACACTTGGCATGTTCTGCATTTCTGAACATACCTTTCACAATCCTGGACAATTGTTGGCCAGTAATACCCCAATAAGATGATGCGCTGGGAAAGCGTATGGGACATTTGATGCGCCGTGCATACGCCTTCGTGGACCTCCGCTATGACTCGTTCAGCCTCCCGGTTGGTTAGACATCTCAGGAGTGGCCCCCCAAATGCCCTTTTATACAGCTTTCCATCAAGAACCTGGAATCGGGGTGCCCTGAGTTTCACTTTTCTTGCCCGGTCATCTTGTTCTGGCAAGATCCCATCCATCAAATATTTCATCAGATCATACATCCAATGGTCGTCTGCCCCGACCAAGTTTGACCGATCAAATTGGCTACCGGCCGTTATAGCGGCGACTTCCAATTTTTTGATGCTTGCACGGTCAAGGATCTCTACCCGGGCAAGTTTTGAAACGTGCTCGGGAGCATACTGCGTCAATTTGGAGAGAAGGTCTGCATCTGCGTTTTCCGCCCAGGGAATTTGGGCGATCTTGAACTCTTCGAAGCCTTTCAACAGGGACAGTACAAGGTCCCTGTATTGTGCCATGCGTCCTTCCCTTGCTTCCATGTTACCGGTCACTTGCCCAACGATCAGGCTAGAGTCAGATTTGATACTGACCCGGCTGATTTTCAGGGCTTGGGCAAGTCTGAGCCCTCCGGCCAGAGCTTCATATTCTGCCTCATTGTTCGTCAGTTTGAAGTTGAAGACGATCGCATGGTAGATCTTGAAACCTTATGGGGTGGTGAACACGATTCCACCCCCGTATCCTCTAGGACCGGATGCCCCGTCAACTGCCATCTCCCACCATTGCTCAGTGGGCTTGTTGACCGGTAGGTCTGGAGTTAGACCGGTCATTTGTACTAGGAAGTCAGCAAGGGCCTGTCCCTTAATTGCCGACCTTGGCCGGTACTCAATGTGGAATTGAGTTAACATCATCGCCCACTTCACCATCCTCCCGGAGGATGTTGAATTTCGCAACACTGCACCCAGCGGTTGGTCAGTCAAGACTTCTACCGGGTGAGCTTGGAAGTAGGATGTTAACTTTTTTGCGGAGATAAAAAGCGCATAGGCTGTCTTTTCCATCGCCGTATATCTATTCTCAGCCCCGTTTAGTGCTTTGCTCACATAATAAATGGGCTTTTGTGCCCCATCATCTCTTATTAAAACGGAGCTTACAGCATTTGGGGAAATTCCCAGGTACAGATACAGAGTTTCTCCCGGTTCGGGTTTAGACAATACAATATCCGACGCTAGGTACTCTTTCAGCTCCTCGAATACCCTCCGACATTCTTCGTCCCATGCAAATGTGTTGGCCTTCTTCAGAACTTTGAAGAAGGGCAGGGATTTCTCAGCTGACCGGGAAAGGAACCGGCTGAGGGCCGCTAAACGACCGGTCAACTTTTGAACATCCCTAACGGAGGTAGGGGCTTGGATTTCAGTGATGGCCCGGATTTTCTCTGGGTTGGGCTCTACTTCTCTCTTGGTTACCATGAATCCCAAGAACTTCCCGGTACGAACCGCGAAGACGCATTTCTTAGGATTCAGCCGGAGGTTGTATTTTGCCATGATATCGAACGTGGCTCGCATATCAGCCGGATGGTTGAGAGATACCTGGCTTTTGATCAGCATGTCGTCGACGTATGCCTCCATGGTCTTTCCCAGTAGTGGCTTGAAGAGTTTGTTCACCATGCGCTGGTAGGTTGCCCCCGAGTTCTTCAAGCCAAACGCCATTACCCGGTAGCAGTAGGTTCCTTCGGGTGTGAGGAATGACGTCTTCTCTTCATCTTCCTTGGCCATGTAGATTTGGTGGTAACCCTTGAAGGCATCCATGAAACTTAGGAGTTCGCACCCCGCAGTTTCGTCCACCATTTGATTTGGACTGGGAAGGGGGTATGAATCCATCGGAAAAGCCTTGTTCAAGTCCGTATAATCCACACACATTCTCCATGTGTCGCCCTTAGGCGCAAGGACAACGTTGGCCAACCAATCCGGGTATTTGACTTCCCGGATGTGACCAACACTGGGGAGGTCCTTCACTTCCTTCTTGACGAACTCTCGCCGGTCACTGGCTAGGTACCGCTTCTTCTGTCGTACCGGTCGACTTCCCTCCCTCACGGCCAACCGGTGGCAGATAACAGAGCGATCTATCCCGGGCATATCCGCCACGCTCCATGCGAATATGCCCGCGTATTCTTGGAGGACCCGTGTAATCTGTGCCTTGAGATCCTCGGGGAGATTTGCTCCAATTCTGACCATCCTCGAAGAATCACCCGGGTGAAGTTCGATTTCCACCGTCTCGGCCTCGGGCTCCAATTTCTCCCGGGTCTCTCCCTTTGTGATCTCTTGGGAGATGACATTGACCCCCTTGGTCATCTTCTTGACTGTCCGGGCATAGCATTCCCGGGCATTCCTCTGATCGCCCTTCACTTCACCCACACCACCTGGAGTGTGGAACTTCATGCATAGATAAGACATGGAAATCACCGCCCCGACTCTATTGATGCCGGGCCTTCCAAGAATTGCGTTGTGGACGCATTTGATGTCCACAACTATGAACTTCATCTTCTTCCACACGGTGTTTTCACCTGATCCTAGTTCGACCGGTAGAACTATGGATCCTTTAGCTTCAATGGTGTCCCCCGTGAAGCCTGAGAGAGGGGTTTTGAGGGGTTCAAGTTGTGTTCGACACAACCTGAGTTTTTGGAAGGTCTCCAGGTATAAGATGTTGACACTGCTGCCGGTGTCAACAAGTACCCGGGCGACATCCACCCCATTAATGTCCATGGTGATGACCAATGGATCATTGTGATCTTCACCGGTAGGAGGGAGATCCCGGTCAGTAAAGACGAT